ATGTATCACTGCATCATACCACGAACGAAAGCAAATTGCAAGCTAAAAGTTTTCAGAATACATCCTATTCCGCGATGTTGAACATTACGGAATCACTTCCGCACCGGAAATAAGTTTCTCCGATTCCCAGAACTCGATTAGCGTGCTACAGCGCAGGCTCAGTCAACACTGATCGAGCTCCAGTAATTACCGGAATTCCGGGAATTCGATTGAAATGCAATTCATTGAAATTCTGGGAACCTCTTCCAGTTCCGGAATTCCTGGTAATGTTTCTAATTACGGAATTGCTCTGAATTCCTTTAAATTTCGAGTAACTCCTTTTGGACTTAGTTCCCGGAATTCCGGGAATCGACGGAACTCGATCAATGTTGATTAGGTCTCTTATATTGAATGATGATGGAGTTCCCGGAATTGGATGTAAGTGATTCCGCAATTTTGAACATTGCGGAATTTGATGACTGCTCAAAGTTTTCTGATAAACTATGTTATTGTTATAGCCCACATCAGTCTTCTTCATACATGACAGCGGTTACACATTGAATTATTTTTGTACTACTAGTTATATTCGAAATGTTGCGATCACAGAGGTCGATAGAAAATATTTATGTATGATAGTGATAAGCTTCGACAAAATACTCGAAGCAAAGAAATTTACGGCAGTAACTGCATTGAATAAAGGGCAGTAAGTAGCAGTTCGACTGCTGACAGAAGCTACCATCGGCATTAAAACAAATTTTGTTGATGGATTCGAAATCTCCTGAATGTTGATCGAAGTCATCTGTTGTGAACCATGAACACTTTACCCTAGATATGAGCAAAGATGAGGGCAGCCGGTTGTGAATTAGAGAATTTAAGCGTATTATATTGTTTCGCTCAGATAAGTTAATGGCAATATCATAGAGGTGACTATGATCGAAAATACGCCGAGCAATCAATTTCGATTGTCTATTGAAATAAACATCGAGTAGTTGAATGCGCAATGTAGTATAAGCAGGTATTTCTAGTCTTTTATGTCCCTTGAAGCCAGAGTACATAGTTGAATTTCACTGATCGAACCAATAATCCGAAAGCAGGAGAAAGTTCGCTGGAGGAAACGGACGAAGAACGTGATTCTCCAGTATTTCGCAAATGGGATGGTGAGTTTCCCTGGAGAACTGCATGTAACAACAATGTTCGGGGCAGAAAAAAAAAGTGTTTTTGATATATAATAAAGGACATATCGTTTTATTCTACAAGGAACATGAAGTTGGTCTAGTCACTGTCGCTCATCTTTCGCTTTGGCTTCCTCAAGCAAAGAAAAACGGAATCGACGAGTTTTCCAACAAGAGATATCATTTTTTGAATAGTTTAAGAGTGCGTTGTGGTATTCTTTGACTTCACATGAGCCAACATAGCATTTTCCCCCTCATGTCAGAGTGTTCTAGTCGATTGAAGTTCAAGTTTTAGGCCAATCTGATCAGTATTTAAAATTTGTTCAGGTACATAGTCCTTCATCTCTCATTTCACATCGGCTAAAAAGGAATCAGCAGATGTAATGATAGCATTAGGATTTTCTGCATGATGACGGATCACTAGTTTCGTGAGTTTTCTCGAACAAATACGGTGGCGATCTTTGAAGACTCGCTGCCAATATCCAGATGCTTTAAATGTAAGAACAGAATCCTCAGCAGCTTTTTGAAGTAACCATCGTTTTAGATCCCGATCGTGTAAAGACAGAAGAGCGTCTCGAGCTTCTTCAAACTTGTCATAAACAAATCATCGATAAACTGTATCTTCGCTCGAGTTGTACCACCTTGTTCGATGTAATGACGAAAGTGGGCAAGATCTTGTTGGTGAGTACCGAATTTGAACCAATGCTGTGTCGACTTCCGCCTGTGTTTTGTTCTGTTTTTCGAATCACGCTCATCGTAATAATCAGTAGCTTTTCCCATGTAGTCGAGACTGAAGTTCAGTTTAATTGGAGGCTTTTCAGCTTTTGCAGTCTCATCAAAACTGAGATCAAGATTTTCGTTTTCAGAAGAAGTACTTTCATCTTGAAAGTCACTAAATTCGTCGTCATCATCGTAATCAAGGGTCACATCTGAATCGGGTTTGAACGATGTACGGTTGCAAACATTGTCAATTACTTTTAACAATGAAATATTTATTTCTTCCCCACGTGGATTTGTTTGGGATCGTAGACGACGTAGTTCTTCATTTTCAGTCCCTTGATCCACTAAAAGCTTTGCAATTCTCGTAGGACTAATCATCATTCGCGTTACACATTTGAGGGAAAAAAATATCTTACAACGAAGACTCACGCGAACCACGTATATCACAGCACGCTTTTGCTTATTACGATAATCATAACGCAGTAACTATCATGTGCAACAACAGAACGTGATGAAATGTGTGTAGTACGCATTTTTTTTNTTTAAAATCCTCAATTCAAATATTAATCAAACGTTAAGATGATGAGTAAGTTAGTAAGAGATTATTTTCTTCGAACATAACTAAAACTAAATCATGATAAAACTTTTCTCAACAAAATCTAATCATTTTTATATCAATTATTGTAAAGTATATGCTAATAATATTTTGAATAATCCTATAAAGTTAAGTCACATTGTACTCATTTAAGGGAATAATATCAAAATAACTAGATTATAATAAATAAATATATTTTAATTGTTTTTCACAATAGTTCATTGGTTTGAACTTTCTCTATAAATCGATTTTTCATTGACCTTCAATAGTCTGCCTTGTACTACATGATAATTTTATTTGTATCATCTCCTCTTAAATATATATTTATCACAGAAAAATTTATTATTTTGTTCATACATTATGGCAGTAGAATAGCCAAGTTATAAATTGTCTACTCAACTAAGTACTTAGCATTTGCAAAGTAACTTCAATAAATACCAATATCAAAGTTGAAGATTCATCATATAAATACGGCGTAATTACATCATCACCAACAAATTTGATGAAATTAGTACGTCAAACAGGATTGATGAAGTTGCAACTTCATTGCATAACTCTGTTACAGCTACTTCAATTCAACTAAATACTAAATAAATATTCATTTTTAAAAAGCATTTCAATCATTTTTTACGTGCATGATACTAACATAAGATTGTTTCTCAATATACTGCCCATGAGAAAAGTTACAGCATACAAAGAGCATAAGTTACCATTTATTAGATAAGTAAATAAAAGTGTTTATCTTTAGATTGTATAGTTCAGCTTATGAATAATATCTAGAAATGATCCGCATCGATCGATTCATCTGCCTTACAATCAAAATAGACTATACTTACGAAAAATCGACTTGTTTGGACTTCTATCATGTACAATGTAATTCACTGATAAGCTATCAGAGAATCTCATAAAATTTTGGCACATTATTATAATCATAAATCTCTTGAGAGGTGTAAAAAAATGGTAGTAATAAATCTTACACATTAAGATTGCTTTCTACTTGGCAAGACTTTATGAATGTCTCAGACTAGCAACAACCTCAGTTTCAAAGAACGTCTTTTACTAGTACAATCGTTCTTTCTTCTGAGGGAAACTTTGGAGAGTTCGCATTAGTCTAGTTATATTGATACGAAAGTCAAATTAAAAAAATTATTCATTTGATGGTCATATTCAATTATGTAGATGCATGTTTGAAGTATATTCATTCTATTCACACAGAAAAGATTCTCTGTATTGTTTCTAGAAAGTTGGGAAAGGCAGTTTTATCGACTGTGCAAGATTTACCACAAATATTATTTATCTATATCTTTTGTGAAAATGACACTAGAACATGAAACATGACGAAGGGATTATCAAAAAAAAAAAATTGCAAAGAGTATTTATCAATAAGGACAATCTATTATTAAAATTAAATTCTCATTTAAAGATAATTTTAATGAATTTAATCCGATTCAATATATTTGACTTAGCAACCAAGGAAAATAGTATACAAGATTTGAATGAAGAGAAAGTAATATTCATGTGGTTTCATTGGTATTAATGAAGCTTTATTACAGATTACAGGAAGTTATATAAATACTAAAAATGAAATGATTCGTGAATATTAGCCATCTGCTAATTCGTTCATAAAACGAGCAAATCAATTTGTTCGAGAAGTCCGATTTGATTTGAAAATTGTTCACCTATTTCATCCAGTCCATTGTAATTTTCTCTAAATGACTGCCGAATAGAGGGTGAAAGATTCAATATAAGATTTCCATTGCCATTCCCAATGGTGGAAACAAAAATTCGAAACATGAAGCCATTTCTAGAGCATTCTGATTCTTTCAGACCATCACAAGTTCTAATTATCGAGGCCACATGTTGATCATGTGAATACCGTTATGCGCAATCACACGAAGGATCACCAAAATTCCAGTATCCGTAAGATGGAACGACAACAAATGCTGAAACTATACTTCGTTGAACGAACATGATTAAGCGTTGATGAGTAAAGGTAAAAATAGTCTTTTCAACTCAGAAAAGACTTCGAATCTATGGCCGCATATGTCGATGTTGAGCGATAGTGGAATGAATATATTTCGAAATATCTCGATTTGGAGTGGGTGTGGGTGTCGGCGTGTGGCCGGTGTGGATGAGGTTGTGGATGTGGGTTGTATATCCTCTTCATCCACCGATCCATATTCACACCCTTTTTTCTCGACAATCTTGTTATGACCCATATCTGCTTCAGATGTGGTCATAAGAATTTTTCCTATTTATTTATATGATTATACCTATTCACGTATGTTCTTCTTCTTTCATCTTGCTGCTAGTCATGTTTCAAGGATTTTTCCCTTTTCTTTCATATATATTGGAATTTTTCATTTCGTTCTATTATTGTGTCTTTCATATTGTTCTATGGAGTTTTCCTTGTTTATTGTTTATAAAAAATTTTCAACTCCTATCATCACTCTATATATAGCGTTACGTTGTTGCGTAAAGACATATATACATAAATACAAGTATACAAATAAAGTATAAGTGCGATTAAGATCTTACAGATCTTCTAATTCTTTTTGAGTTTTATAATTTTTTTCAGCTAATATATGAAAATATTCTTCTTGGTTATTAGCTGTTTCATATGTTTCACTTTCAATACGTCGAGCATAATTAGCTAACTTAATAATGCGTTCATCATCCATAGTACCTGTGTCAGTTATTGGTGTAAGTGTTGTTATAATTTTTTGTACAAGATGATGGCGCATTTCTTGTGTAATACATCTTTGCCATTCTTTATTCATTGTTATTGATGTTGTTGTTGTTGGATTGTTATTATTATTATTATTTGGTGTTTGATTTAATTTATCTAATGTTGGCGGTGTTTTAAGTGGTTGACATATAGAACATTGTGAATTATTACATTTTTTCCAATGGAATATAATTTGACGTGAAGTAACACAATGAGTAAATGTACATGTTTTATAATCATTACAGTTCGTCATATGTTGTAGAACATTTTTCATGGTACTGCAATGTGGTAATGTACATGCACTAGGATGTGCTGCTTCGCCATGAATAGTGTTTTTTTCACCTTGTTGACATTTATATGCATGTAATAATAAGACAAGTTGCTTTTGAATAAATTGTTTTAGCTGAACATCAATGTGTTGTTGTTGAGAATTGTTGGTTGATGTTGGATCAATATTAATTATTTCCAGTGATTGAGTTATTGGTACAATGTCTGGCAGATTAGTTGAAGTTTGATCCATCATTGAATTCTAAAAGAAAGGATTTTGATCTGTAAATTTTAACTGATTGCTTCCTATGCCAAAGCATCACTGACAAACTAAGCTACGATTTATTCGAAATGTTGAGTTTGTTTCTCCTTCTTGATTGATATAATAATGATGGATTAGCAAAAGTATTATATATCAATTTATTCGGTGTTTATAAACTCTTCCCATACGAAAACGAAGCAATCATGAGGAAAAAACCCAAGCAATGAAAGAGTCAAAAGAGAGAAACTACAGGAAAGCTGATAAGTGAACAGATACCGTTGTAGAAAGACGATTAAGAAAGCTAAATGAAAGAAAGCAGACCACACCTGGCAACAAATGAACTAGATTGGCCTGTTCATGGCCAATAGGCGAAGCTTGAATCAAGCATATTGTAATGGCACTAATTCTTTTTTGTTGAATTTTAGTTTGTGTAAATGTTTAGTAATCTTGTATGCTACGTCTGTCATATACTAAGCTCATTATATGAACATGTCTGTAATGTTTTAAATGTTACGACTAAACAGCCAAACTTATCTTTTCATATTAAACCAGACTTAGTACCATTTAATTGAAATTATTTGTTTATCGTTTACTATTACGTATTATGGATCAATCATAACTAAAGAAAAGTAATTGATCTTTATTAAAAATTATTCGATGAATGATTTTCGTTTTCATGTTGAACAAACTACATTTAGGCTTCTATTAATTGATTTCATTTTGACTGAACATAAAATAATTGTGCCATTGACTTTTACTGTCAATGTTTTTACTTTTTTGAATAAAATCGTGAGAGAAATAGCAGCTAGGATTTTCATAACATATTATCGGTCTTCCGTCAAGATCTGAACTAAATCTTTGTTTTATGATCCTTTTGTTATAAATCCAGGAAATGTGTTTGAACCGAATATAAACTAAGTAGGGAGTATCAAGATGATGAAGAAGGGACGACACACACACATTCGAAAAGATACATGGGCATATATAGTTCTAAGTGAGTCAAGACTCCTGAGTCAAGCATCCCATGCTCATGACTCAAGGAATCCTGACTCAAAAGTGTAAACATACATTTCAAAGATGACGTACCATGGCTGAAGGCCATGACAATCAAGATTATTGAATACATCAAACAAGGATTTTAGCAAGATCAGTCAGAGTTCTAAACTGATTAATCCTGTGAGACTTCGATTAGAATGGGGCACGGGTTCTCTCTAGTTCAAGACATACATGCATACATCAACAGACAATGCATGTTCTACATCTACACTCACATTTCACGCTGAGTTTTCTAGGGCCGACGCTTTCATTTCTATTTCGATCAGTTTTTGTCGCACAGACTTGTTTTTTACCCCAAAAGATTTTCTGAGTCCAGTTAAGATTTACAATAAAGTAAATTTGCTGTATTTAACGAAACTTTCACGAGTGCATCGTACTCAATAGATATTAACACACTGAAGTTATAAGTAATCTCCAAGAATTTGTGGAAACTCATCCGTATACTAAATGTGAAAATACCTAAAAATTTACTTAACATACGGAAATTTTATAAAAACCAATCATAAACAAAAGCGTTTCAGCCCTTCACAATTTTTAAAAATTAGGAAATTACTAGCAGTTTTTAGTAATTACGGAACTTTCTATCAAAATATTTCATGAACATATCAATGTATTTCTGTAATAAGAGGAAAGCCCTATTGTCTTTCCTTTTTATAAGAAATTTTGGAAGCTATTGGGAAATTTTAACAATTATGTAAGTTTCAGTGTAACTTATAAAATAACCAATATTTTATTGGAGATGACTTATTTTTTTCTTCTATTAAACTATATTGATATCTATCTCGAATAAATATAGCAATATCTGTAATTACTGGAGCTGCTTGAACATGAACTTTTCATCTACTGGGAAATGTCAGAAATTTCTGTTTGTTTTTCATGTACAGTTCTGTACACTCTTTTTAAGAGTATATAGTAATTGCGATATTTTCTAAAATTATTCTTCTTTGTTTAGTTGCAGTTTCTAAAATTTGATGATTTATAAAGGGAATTTTTCAGATATTTCAACACTGCTGACAAATGAGTTCTGATGTAGGCAAAACTAAAGTAAGATAAAAAAAATGTTCTTTGAAGAAAAGTTAAAAAAACTGCCAGTTGTGTGTAAGTTTATTATTTAAAGGTATAGTGTACTGAGAATGGCAGGAAAAGTATTTGTTTGGTAAATGATAATGTTTTGAGTAAAATATCACAGAAAGTCTTTGGGGGAAAAGATGAAATCCTAGTGATGAAACCTGACCGAAATAGAATCAAAAGGCTTGGCAGTGCCATTAACTCTTATCTATCCGTTACATTACAACGATAAAGGTTTCAATGATATGTGTAAAGTAAAGAGACAAGAGAATGACTATTCATGTGATTTGTGATGAAACTCAAATTGCTTTAGTGCAATAAAAAGAGTGCAGCGACAAGGAAATTTTTTTCTTTCCTAGTCGAATTATATAAGTGTTATTTACCTTTCTTCTTTCAATTGAACAAAAATTTCAATTAATTGATGATATTTTATCGTTCGGAAGTAAAAATCACCTACTTCTTGTGAATATTTATCGAGACAGCTTAAATACTTTGCACTTTTACGAATGACGTAGTCAAATTATTTTTTTCTTGCATCCTCCTCTTTACTTCATGAGCAACAATCAATAAAAAAAACCAGTAGAAAGAAAGAAAAAAATATCTTGACAATGCGACTGCTTCGTTCTTCTTTCATCATATTGTTGTATATCATAAGCTATTCACATATTGGTAATTGCTTTTTCTTTTCCACATGTGTAGAAAACAAGAAAGGATTTCTCTTCTTCTTTTCGAAAATTCCAACATAAGCACGGGGGATACGTGCTGTATCAACTTAACGGAAGTGAAACAGAAAAAAGTCAGCAAGCAGCCGAATGTTGGGTTATGGAGTGCATCTACTAGTTGTTTGGAGTCCCATCTAAACAACGTGCAGGTTTTAACGTCGATGTAGACGTGAATGCTTCTTCCTGCACCACATCCACCTTCATCCATGAAAAAATATTCCAAACAAAAGGGGTGTGGGTGTGGAGATCTCTTCAATTCGCACCCACCCACACCTATAATGACACTATAAAAGATTTTCACTATAAGAGTCTATATAGGCCAAGCCCATTGAAATTGAAAAAGGCATTTGCTATGAAACATTACCTATGAACGAGCCTTATATGTCATTCAGTTAAATATTCTATAACTTTATCTAAAAAAATATAATTCAAAAAATGTCAAATTTGAAATCTCGAATGTTGTGAACGCTATTTTCTCCAGTAAGTTCAGAACTAAATAATGTTATTTGATTTTAAAAGTCATTCATGTCTCTCTCCTCATCTTTCAAAACTGTCGAACTTCGTCAAAAAATTGAAAATCGAGATAAATATGTAATTGAAAAGGCTAAAGTGCGTACTTTAACAAATAGCATGATTTTGATCTTTCTTCCTCCAAAGAAAGTGAATTCTTGACAAAAAAGATTCTATTGAAAACAAAGACATTTTTTGTAAGAAAATTACTTTTCTGAGAGCAATACATTACAGGGGTGTCATATTCCACTTACCATTACTAGAAAGTGGTAAGTGGTAAGTGGTATAGATTACCACACAAGAATAAATATTAATAATTAAAATAATCATTTATGAGGTCTATATCGATAATTTTCCGGTAATTACAACACTTACCACTTACCTAGTAAGTGGCTGTGATGGTAAGTGGTAAGTGTGACATTACTTTATAAGGAGGCCACTTCTAGATGATTGTTAACAAGTGATAAGCCACCTCAAATAATCCAACCTAAGCGACTGAAGGAAAAACACATGATGGTCTACTTAGGTATGCACCAGGCTTACGAAGGAACCGTTCTAAGTGATTCACCGCTATTGAGCTCATATTTTGGGAATATCAAGAGGACTTCTAGACTAGAATAATTCTAAAAGGATTTGGTCCTACGGCCTTCCTGTCTTGAGATATTGAATTTTCCAGTTCTTGGATAACATAGCGTTTTTGATCGTGTATCACTGCATCATACCACGAACGAAAGCATATTGCAAGCTAAAAGTTTTGAGAATACATCCTATTCCGCGATGTTGAACATTACGGAATCACTTCCGCACCGGAATCAATTCCCTCCGATTCCCAGAACTCGATTAGCGTGCTACAGCACAGACCCAGTCAACATTGATCGAGTTCCGGTAATTACCGGAATTCTGGGAATTCGATTGAAATGCAATTCATTGGAATTCTGGGAACCTCTTCCAATTCTGGAATTGCTGGGAATTCCTGGTAATGTTTCTAATTCCGGAATTGCTCTGAATTCCTTTAAATTTCGAGTAACTCCTTTTGGATTTAGTTCCCGGAATTCCAGGAATCTACGGAACTCGATCAATGTCGATTAGGTCTCTTATATTGAATGATGATGGAGTTCCCGGAATTGGATGGAAGTGATTCCGCAATTTTGAACATTGCGGAATTTGATGACTGCTCCAAGTTTTCTGATAAACTATTTTATTGTTATAGCCCACATCAGTCTTCTTCATACATGACAGCGGTTACACATTGAATTATTTTTGTACTACAAGTTATATTCGAAATGTTGCCATCAAAGAGGTCGATAGAAAATATTTATGTATGATAGTGATAAGCTTCGACAAAATACTCGACGCAAAGAAATTTACGGCAGTAACTGCATTGAATAAAGGACAGTATGTGACAGTTCGACTGCTGACAAAAGCTACCATCGACATTAAAACAAATTTTGTTGATGGATTCGAAATCTCCTGAATGTTGATCGAAGTCACCTGTTGTGAACCATGAATACTTTACCCTAGATATGAGCAGAGACGAGGGCAGCTGGTTGTGAATTAGAGAATTTAAGCGTATTATATTGTTTCGCTCAGATAAGTTAATGGCAATATCATCGAGTTGACTATGATATAAAATACGCC